GTGGACGTCATGGTGTACAAAGACTCACGATCACATACTATGCATATTTAGATGTAATATGTTTGTGCTCACTGGGTTGCCTTTATGAGGAAGTTAACTTATCTCTGGGATTCACACTCGCCAGGAATTCTTTAATGTGTCTATAGAAGAGAAACTGCAACTTTCACCCTTCAAAGGAAAAATGCATCCAGCCCAGTTTAGTGTGTTTGAGTCATCCTCAGACCTCAGCTATTGTGACTCCCTTTCCCAGCACAGGCATCTGCTTGCTGGTAAAGGATTATTTCTCCCGCATAAAACCTTTTTAGTACAAGGGAAAAAATGTTGGACCATTGTTGTACCAAATGTGTTTTTTATCACAACTTGGCAAATCATTGTTTGCCAAGATTCCTGATGTTATCATGCTTTTAAAAAAAGATGCTGTCTTTACAGCCACCTCAGGTCTAGATAATCACCATAGGTAAAACTCCCTGATGGAGTATTCCCATTTTGTAAAATGTTGTTTTTTTTTGATTGGTTCTTTGTTTTTCTCCACTTACCTACAAAGGTGTCATAAAGAAGATGGACATACTGTGACATCATCCATTGGTTAGGGATGGACCTAACCAATGTTTTTAGGGTCATCATTGAGGTTTTTGAAACATGGAAAGTAACTGGTGGATCTTACTGGACACACTCACTGGTAGCTATTTGTCAATCACATATGAGTCATTATTATCTTATTGCCCTTTAAGACTCTAGAGGACACCATAATTTACTAAATTAACACCAAGGTCAGAAAGAACTAAACTAAAAAAATGAAAGAGAACTGAACAATTAAGAACATCAACTCATCATGTAGATGTTTACTGAGGGTGAAAGGTCAATGTGAGCCTAAGGTTTGTTTTACCCCTGACTTCTATACAACAAGATCTCTTTCTTTTCTTTTCTTTTTGTCAAGCCAGAGGCATTAGGCACCTTAGCATTCACTTTCACTTTTCAGGCCCCGGAGGCCGTGACTTTATATAAAGACTATGCTCACTTGTCCTTTAAGACTGGGTGGTAAAAATAAACTTGGGTTGAAGTGGCATGAAATAGAGGTTATAACAGCTGTTTGTGAGTTATCTTGAGTTATTTTTCCATAATATGGTATACTTTTAAATTCTGAACAATTGCACATGTAAAAATGTGCTATAGGTCTCACTGCAAAGCCCACATAGAGGGTTTCCCACTGCTTCTGACGGACTGTCAGAGTGCTGAGGTAATGCTTCCTCAACCTCATCTGCTCTCTTGGCTGATAGAGACATATGATTCACTGTGTACGTCTCACTAAAAATTGTAGTCAAGCATTGATCGTCTGTATTAGTGCTTGTCTGTGTGCAGCCTGCACATGTCATTAAGTGTGTAGTGTGTGCGTGTGTGTTTGCCTACAGGGTGTGGATTAATGCTAGTTTATTGTTGTGTTGTTGTGTGGGTGCCTTATTAATCTCCAAATGTTTGACTCACTGAGAGTATTGCTGGCAGGAACCTCAATCTCCTTGTTTGAATAAACAAAGTTATATAACAGAGTTAAGGCCTGGCAACATGATGTTTGTGCCGTTATGAAACTCTGTATTCTAAATAGAGAGGTGGTAAAAAGAAGAGTGATGTCTGACACGGTTTTAGAAAAAAAGTGTGCAAAAATAAAAGCGTAATATGATGTCATGCTTTTTCTCTTTTCTTCACAGCTGCTAACTGGGACCCTGGATGGGAAGCTCAGGCTGTTTAAGTCTAGCAGTGGCTCTTCTTTGTCCTGTGACACCAGCGCTGCCGTGCACAGTGTCCTCAACAAGACTGTGTAATTACAGCTGGCCCCTGCAGAGCCCATGCAGGTTTTATTAATGCAGTTCCAAGTGGGATTTTCATTGGGAAAGAAGAATTTAAACGTTTTCTTTTTTTGCTCTTGGTTTAATGAAAAACAGGTAGAGTTATATAAAAATGTGCTCTTGTGTGTTCTTCCTCGGTGCTTAAAATTGTCAGTAGAAACCAGCCATTTCAGATCATTCGTCTTTGTTAAACTTCCTGCCCATGCTTCCAGCGCATTTCTTATTTAAAGGGAGCGCGCTGCTTTCTTTGAACTCATTTAGCTGCATTTTTGTGATGCACGATTTAGTCAATTAAACATAATATCACTAAATTTGCCAAAAACAATTATTATTAGCAGTTTTTCACATCTGTTGCACATTCTGAATGGTCAAGCATAACGTTTAGTTTGTTCAGTATGTGGAACAGATGTACTTCTTATATCGCTGGCTGTGACCTCCACTTAGCAGATCAGCACGTAGAGCTATGACATCAACTGGGTGCAACCACTTTGGCTGCCAGACACACAGATGCTCCTACTGTTCATACTGATGCACCCATCTCCATTGTTTGTGCTGGATGTTTAGTCCTTTCTACCTTAGTCACAACAAACTGTCAGGTACTCTAATACATAGTAGAGGATATAAAGGCTCAATGTGAAATTTGTTCAAAAATTGTTGAATTTGTTGAAAAATTGGTTTGCAACAACACTATTTACAAAAAAGCTGGCAAGCTTAAATTTCTAAGGTTTCCCATTTGATGCAAGATTCCAGTTTATTTTCTGTGAGCTTTTTTAAAACACATTTGTGATGTTACAGTCTTGTGCCAAAATAGATTCAATTCATTCTTCACCTCAAAATTCTACAAAACAATTTAAATCTATTAAAAATAATAAATTAAAATATAACATGTATATTCTGAGCCTTTGCCATGACACTCTGAACTGAACTCAGGGGCATCCTGTTTCTGCTGATCAGCTTGATTGGAGTCCACCTGTGGTAAATTAATTTGATTCAACATGAAGGTACGCACCTGTCTACATAAGGTCCCATAGTTGACAGTGCATGTCAGAGCACTAACCAAGCCATGACGTTTAAGGAATTTTCTGTAGACAGAGGAGAAGGTCCAGAAGGACAACCATTTCTGCAGCACTCCAGTAATCAGACCTATGTGGCAGAACAGCCAAACAAAAGCCCCACCTCGGTAAAAGGCACATGACAGCCAAAAAGTCTGCCCAAAAGCACCCTAAGGACTCTCAGATCAGAGAAACAAAATTCTCTGAAACAAAGATTAAACCCTTCGGCTTGAATGCCAAACATCATGTCGGGAGGAAACCAGCCACTACTGATCCCTTGGCCAATACCATCCCTACAGCAGAGCATGGTGGTGGCAGCATCATGCTGTGGGGATGTTTTTCAGCAGCAGGAACTGGGAGACCAGTCAAGATCAAGGGAACGATGAATGCAGCAATGTACAGAGACATCCTTGATGATAACCTGCTCCAGAGTGCTCTGGACCTCAGACTTGGCTGAAGGTTCAGCTCCAAACAGGACAACAAACCTAAGCACACAGTCAATATAACAAAGTAGTGGCTTCAGGACCACTCTGCGAATGTCCTTAAATGGCCCAGCCAGACGCCACTAAGTCTCTATTCTTTTGTGTCATTCTTATATCTCCAAACAAGGTGACAGATTAATATGTTTTCTCTTACATTGATTTGGAAATAAAATCAAAAATAATTTTTGAAGTCACAAAGTCATCAATCCTATATCGCATGTCCTCTTAGGTTCAACATTAAGATATTCTTTCTATCTCAAGTTTAATACCACAGTTTATTGCTAAGTAACGTTTCCTGGTGATGTTTAATTTTCTTTGGAAAAACAGTTACTATCTCCTGCTCTGCTGCTCCTGTCACCTCCACCATATTATAAGCCTTAACTCAGTCTTCAGACAGAAAGGAGGAATGCTCATCCCCCATCTGCAGGGGGACATAATTTCAAGCATCACTCATCCCCTGTCCATTAGGAAAAGATATCAGAGTTGACGCATTATGTGATGGCGCTAAATCCACTGATAGTATGCTCAGTCTTAACTTCCTCAGACTGTTTTCCAAAAACTGCTCATCTGTGTCTTGTCCCCTGTCCAGTATTCTGTATTTGATTTACTCTGCCCTTTTTGGACTGCTTACTTTAATTGATACCAAGGCAGGCTGTCTGTGAGGATGTGCAGTGCGATCCTCAGCTAGATCATGAAGTATAGCTTTGAAGTTGCACAGTATCAGCTGCCAGATATGGATAGGATTTATAGGGTGGTACCTCTTGCTTTGTCATGCATTACATTATGTATGTACTGTGTGTGTGTGTGTGTGTGTGTGTGTGTGTGTGTGTGTGTGTGTGTGTGTGTGTGTGTGTGTGTGTGTGTGTGTGTGTGTGTGTAGGTGCGTGTGTTTATGCCACAAAGATAGGTATGTACTGGCAACGCTGCATTTTCCCTGTCACGGTGAGCTTTAGTGTTCCTGCAAGTAGGAGACACTTTTTATCGGAGCAGAACGATAAATTGTCTTTGGGGTAAATTTACGCAGCCATGTTCTTTCTCTATTTTCGTCCTGGAATGTGTGTATTCAGTGTCTTTCCTTGAATTAATTAACCTGAATTCAGTGAGCATGTGCTCTCAAAACAAAGTAATATATTGCCATATGTGCAAATCCTTTGTCTGTGTGAGGTCATTTTGGGTCCACTCCCTTCATCGAGCTCACCACTAAAGAATGAAGTACACTTGAAAATAAAAAGGACTTCAATAATATCCACACCCAAACATTATGAGTGTCCAACATTCAATCTCTCACAGTCTTTTGTCATTGAAACTGACAGAAAGAAGAACTTTGTCTCCAGCTTTGGAATTATTAGATGCTGGATATGACAGCACTGAACATGGTGTAACGCTGGAGGAAGATATGCAGAGCCCTCAGCATAATATACAAATGTGTAGGTGTCGTTCCCCGCTATGTGGTTTGGTGGTCTTTTGGCTCGCTGGTCACAGTCTCATCAGCACTCTGAACACATTTCCCTTGGGTCATAATGAGGCACGTGAACTTTACTGATGATCTACAGACTCGTGAGGATTTCTGCTCTTTTGTTCTCAAGAGTTCAAAGCTAAAGGAGTGGACACATGTCAAAAACTGCTGTTCTGCTCTCTCAGTTCATTCCAGTATAAGCAAAGCTAACGGAACAACGTATAATGTTCTATAAATTGTGCCAAAGAAATCCAAACTGATGATATCTGTAATGATTTATATTCTATACGTAAATTACAGGAAAAATAACTGAGATTCAGCTCATATGCAATCTATTTAATGAGAGTCTTCAAATGTTCAGACACTAATGATGGTATCAGTCATCGAGCATCAGTGTGCTACAGTGGAAGCAACCATACAACCATAAGCTGTACATAAAAGATGGAAGTAGCTAACATGACCTTTATGCATTATGCTAGCTACTTCCATCTTAGTTTGTTCCACCTGATAATGGCATTTTGGCATCTTCTTGAAACCAGAGGTGGCTCAGACTGAGAAGCCAGCAACAGAGGATTCTCATACGGAAGCAATTTGGGAATCACAAATAGCTACGTCTGGAAACATAACCCGATTTATCTTGTAGTTTACTCTGTGTGATTATAATTTACAAAATGAACATAATTCTCTATTAAATAAGACGCGCAACTCGCAATTTAGATCAACAACTCACTGGGAAAACATTTACTGAGGAGATAAATCAAGCAAGAAGTAGGGTCAGTTTCTCATACAATTCTTTTCAAGTAGACCTCTTTTTCACCTGCTGTTGACCATTATAAGGACAAGCAGGTTCATGACACTTATGGATTGGCTATACTTGGACCAGCATGTTGCTTCCATTGCTTTTTAGCCTGTGGGGACAACATCTATACATCCATTTTTCCTACTTATGTGGGTCCAGATCACCATGGCAACAGCCTAAGCAGAAATGCCTAGACCTCACTCCTCCCAGCTATCTCACCAGCAGTTCTGGTGGGACACCCAGAACACCAAGGTGTTCCCAAGCTAGTCAACAGTCGTAACTTCACCAGCGTGTCCTTGGTCTCCTTCTGGTAGGACATGATTGAAACACTTGAAACACAAGGTGCCCAGGAGTCATCTGACAGATGCCCAAACCATCTCAACTGGCTCCTTTCCATGTGGAGGAGTTGCAGCTCTGATCTGACACTCTCCAAAATGGCCAAACTTCTCATCCTTCCTCTAAGGGAGACCTCAGACTAGCACGGCGTAACCTATTTGTGAGTCACCCCACCACATTGACAAACTCTGAAGTCTTATCAAAGTGAACCAATCAATGCTCATTAACATGGGGGAGGGAAAAGAGGGAAGATTATTGCTAATGGTGTTAATGCTAGAAGGCTTGTTTTTGATCACCCGTGTACGGTACTTTACGTCGTTTGTGTAAAACAACAAGCTATGGCTGTTCGGAGTCCAGTTCACATTAAATCTGTCACTCAGCCAAGTCAAGAACATTTTTGACTTTGACAACACCCTTCCTGAAAACCATCTAGTATGAGGCCCTGAGTACATACATTAGTTCATGCATCAGATATAACATGCTGTGTAGTCGCTGTGCTCTGCTTCTTCTTTTGTGGTCCACAAATTACAGATTCTATTTTGAACGGTGCAGCGCATGTCCCAGCCTTCTGACTGCAACATTCAAGGTAACTGTAAATAATGACCATGAAAGATAAGGTTTAAAGTCACTAATAAATATTGGTGAAATATCCCGATGGAGCCACACAGGAAGACAGACAAGCAATTAGCGTCTTTACTGTACTTGACTCTGTCCTGAGCAGCTCTGGGCTGCGTTGTGCAGACAACAACGGAAATACAGATTATTACCAGATGGTGTCATCCAAGGTGCGAGGCATAAACATTGAAACCGTTAACACTCTGATAAATCAACACGAGACCCTTGCGGAGTTAGCGGGATAAATGGGAAAAACAGGAGCACGTAACACAGGATTCCAGATCCGTGAACAAACCCTGTTGAGGTAAAATGCATTCAAATACTGTTGATCGTTCAAAAAGGTAAACATAACATGAAATCCAGAGGTGTCATAATGGCCTTAAAACAAGAACCTCCTCGCTGAGCGCACAGTATTTATAAGGTTAAGGCACTTCGTCAGCTCCATTAAGCCGAGGCGCAAGGGTGAGATAAGATGATAGTTTGGCAAGTAAGTATAAACCATCAAGTCTCTGCCCATTTCTCAGGTTCATCAAACTAAACTCTAACCTTTCGCTGAACAAAGATAGCATTTGAACATTAACCTCTACCATTAGTGAATTCCTTTGTTTTTATGGCTGAATTTATTTCCTTAAAGAGGCAATTTTATGTTTTCCTCTTTAATCATGTTTAAGTAAGCTGGGAAATTACCAGCACATGTGCTTGAGCTCCATTTCAGTGCATGTGTCTCTATGTAGCCTGTTAATCTGTCATTTTTTTTAATATTACTATTGTTACATAACATTATGCTCTGGTTCTTAGAGTTTTACTCTTGCCATAAAACAAACAATGGGAAAGCTTTGAAGAGGAAAATGTTATCAATATTTCTGCTCCAATTTAGTGTGCCGGCAGTGTTTGAAAACACATCAAAGTGAGAGATATTAAAAAACACACATACATACATCATGTGTCATCCTTGCGAGCCTAGTTTTAAGCTTATGTGGTTGCCAACTAGCCGTGGCTTTCACCTGTCCGGGTAACTTAAATCTGTGGAAGAAAGTAAGTATATGGCAGAACTCCATTTCATAAGGTGCCAAGTTTTCATACCCTCGAATGAACTCTGGTTCAGCAGAAGTGAAAACATCTCAGAACTGAATTTTAGATGGTTTTTGAAGGAAACTGTAGCTGCGTCACACTAACTCACCTCAAATGTTTAAAGCTTTCGGTGTACAGACAGAGTCAGGTTGCCAGCGATGAAACCTGGAGTCAATAATGAGCAGGAAATTCTCTTCTGGAACATTCCTTCTAACTGCACCGACCCTCGGTGTATGATTCAGTGATTATTTTTTTTCTGTTATATCAAAAACCAGCATGCAGCACATTCTCCCCTCCACTTGACGGATTTGTTGCTTTCAAATTAGGTGTTAAAACAATGAAGTTATTGTTTAAAACCACATACGTTTGTTGCCTTTTTCATAAATCGAATTTATCTCCGTGTTTCCCCGCTCAAATACCAAATAGATTTATTACCTGTGGCTCATAAAGCAATTCACTTTGAATAATGCACAATATATGCAAGTTTTCCATACCTTTCAAACATCTTTGTTGGTGAACTCGGGCCTTGACATTGCTCGCAATTCCTCATTTTTACACGCAGCACACAACAGGTAATAGCATGAGATACAGTTTCATTCCTGGAAGTAGTCCCTCTGGTTTAGGTGAGGATGCTGCCTCAGCACAGTGCGCAGGAGTCAGGACTCACGGCGCTGTTGATGTTCCTACATTTTGCCCGGTCACATACAGCATGTTCCCCTAATGTCCGAAAAAACTGACTGTTTGTAAAAGACGACTTGACTGGAGCATTTTCAGTGCTGCCCTCTTGATGAAAAACCAAGGACAATTAATGCTCATAAGACTGTCACAAGGAGGCCTCCTGTGAACCACTTTGTTGTCTGTATTATAAAACCACTATCTAAATAAATGGATAGAAACTGCATGAACTGCTTCTCAAATCCATCAAGTTTGGCAACGTGGGCCAAAGTAAGCTTTAAAAGGCTCATATTTCCTCCACAAGTACACTACTTCTACTACACATGCGCAAAGGCACACACAGGCCAGTTAGGAGTGCAACCACAATCAATATGTTTGGCTCATTCCAGCAGAGCACTTAAAGACTGCCATCCTAATTCACCCTATGTATATGGTGTGCCAAGAGAAGGTATGAAGTACAGTTACAACTTCTGAAGTCTCTGCAAATCTCTGCTGCATGCACGTATTAGTGCAAACAACATGGTCGACTAATAAGTTTCCTGTTCCAGCAGTTTATTTGCTCCTTGGTGACAGGAGTGTGACAATCGTCAGTTTTTAGCATTTGGGGATTTTTTTCTGTAGATTTACATTCAGAATTCTGGTTATAATGTCTCCGGTTGGCTTCAATTGTCAGATCTGGAAGATGAACGCATCTTTTTGGATATAGCCTGAAGTCTAGAGAGGTTCAAGGCTGCTGTGCATGTGTGAAAATGGCTACTGAAAGAAGAACAGTGGTGAGCAGTGACCTGTACTGTAACAACCAAAAAAGACAATAAAACCCTGCGTGGTGCTCATGTTCCTGTTTTTCTGTGTGGCATGT